CCAATTTAGTAAACATGTTAAATATAAATACAGTATTGGAGATTTCTTTAAGTAACAAGGTGTTAAGGCAACTTTTTAAATCAGTACAAATATTAGGACAATTAAAAACTAAAGCTATCACAGTTAAGCAGTGGGCATTCTTTTCTATTTCTAGGACTATCTCAAATACTCTTCCCTCATTTACATATCAACTTTAGAATCAAGAACAGAGCATCAAAGCACTTAAAAAATTGAAATGAATCTAAAACATTTACGAAGCTAAAACATGAAAGGTTAAAAAAATATCCCCGTTTACAAAGAGAAAATAATGAGGTAATACAGGAGCCAGAGGCAGAGGCAACCGCTGAAGTTTTCCCCTAAGAATTGTGGGGAGTGTGAGCAGAGACGGAACATTACAAAAACGCATCAAGTCTAGCCATAAACCCTCGCACATTCAAACCTGTCAGCTCGGCCATCCTGCCACCTAGTGTCGCTGTGGCTGGCATGCAAGGCCACTTACCTGCACTCTGAGGAGATAGTCCACAGTAGAGATGATAATGTTGACTGTTGTATTGTTGCCTGTCTGAGTTCTCAGATAATTCTGAAAATCTACATAAGACCAAAATTTGTATTAAGACCCACTCAGAAATGCAAAATAAGTTGACCCTACAAGTCCACAGCAAAATTGGGGTGGCTACAAGTGGTTTTCTGTCTGACAGTCTGAACATGAAATCACTTACATTTCCTATAAACAGTCAGTTAAGCAATCATAGGAACCTGCCCTAACATGTGCAAGGCCCCAGGTTCGATCCCCAGCCATGCAAACAAAATCAAAGTAAGCAATCATCTCCTAAAACATTTCTAGAAGCCTCATGGAATACCTGTTCAACTCTGGACTGAGATGTGGCTAATACCCATCTCTTTATCACACACTCTAGAGCTCAGGGCATGTGTGTGACCAAAGAGGGCATGGCTGAGGGCATAAAATGGAATCACTGATTCTGCAATCTTGTGTCCTGCACTAAGCGCTGGGGAAGCAAAGAGAGTGGTAAGATGCAACCCCTGCCTTCTTAGATCTGCAAGCTTGTGGGTAAGCTGTGAATGAAACTGCATTCAGTAACAAGAGAACGTGCCCTCCCAAGGTCAAGAAATCCAGAAAGTGTACACCCAAGGTCAAGAAAACCAGAAGTGCTGCTGACATCACTCTGAAGACATCTATTTGATTATTTTTTAAAACTTTGCATATCACTTGTTTCTTCTCACATTACAATAATTGGTAAGAATCAAGCAAAACTAGGCATGGAGGTGAATGCCTATGATCCCAGGAC